GGAAGCTGGGTATGTTTGTTTTCGTACTGAGAGATCCATTTTTTTTGGTCTGAGTTTTTTTTTTGTTCTTCCTTCTTCATTTAAAGAATTGCTTTTGGGTTAATTTTATGTATAGGAACGTTTTTGTTTCTCTTGTGCTCATTAATTATTTATTTTTTCCCTTTTAAAACTCGTGGTTGCTTTCTATTTTCAATTTCGTGGTTTAGTTAGGCTATGTTTGCAGCAATAGAATTTTATTTGTGGAATTGGAATTCTATACTTATTTTCTTAAATGATTGTTTTAATTCCAAAAAGGAAGTTTATTTGTTCCAAACGTAACCTTAATTTTGTGCATAATTTGTTGAATTGCAGTGACAAATAGGTATTAGTGATCTTGTTTTTTGGTTTGAGTTCTTTTTAATTTTATCCTGTTTGTTCTTTATTTTCTCGGGAGTAAAAAACCGGTAATATGCTGAGAGGCATTGGCCCAGGTACAAAGAATGGAAGTTAGTTTTCTTTGATATATGCTTCTGCGGCTTTGTTTTCTTTAAAACAAGAAAGCTAGAATCTATTTTTCTTTTAAGTGGTTGGATTCAGGAGATTAAACACTGGATTTCTTGTGTTGTAACGGTATGTTTTGAAGAGGTGGAGGGGATGGAATTGAATGAAACATGAAAGATGCAATTGTATCTGGAGCCTAGGTATATTGATGGAATGAAATAGAAGAGCTAGTATATTTGCTTTTTGATCAAAAAAGAAATATTTTATCCACATTTGAAGAGAATGTATGTGAAGAGAAGGTTGAAAAATTAAATTTGTTATGAAAACTAAAATCATCTCTATCTTTTAATAAATAAATTAGATCTTATCTCTTTTTTTTCGAAATAAAAAGTGTATAATTGTATTACTGGCATTCAAAGTATCAACAGTATCCAAGAAAATATCTCAGACAAGAAATTGTTAATTTATTACCAACAGAAACAAATATTAGTTGTCACAAAGTCCACCATAAAGCAGTGTTTTAAATACTTGAACAGAGAGTCGGGTGCTGTTACCTTTTCCTTCCCCCACAAATCCAAATCATTGCCTATTCCATCCTGTTTACAGACAATGCCATTGGACACCTGGTTTCGGTTTGTTACTTGACCTGTAGGTTTCTGCTGTCGATTCGATGACTGATCACCCCTCCCCTAGACAAATTCAAATACTAACTCAGCCAATACCAAGCATGCATGCAGGCACTATTTTTGCACATAGGCAGCCATAAAAGAAATAGCATGATGTTTCTACTCAATGACAGCAGAATAATATTCCAAAAAGCACATGATAAAAATAAGGCCAAAACAAAAGGCTTTAAGCATAAGTAGATTAATAATCATAACATGCTCAAAGCTCACCATTCAATTAACTTGACAATCTTATCCAAAAAATATGAAGTCAATTATTTCTTAAAATGGTGAATAATAATATCATGCCAGCATTATTTCAAAAAAATAAAAGAATAATATCATGCCAGCATGGTTTTGTAGTGAATAATAGTAAGTTCATTTGCCATATAAGAGGTGTTTGGCTTTGTTTTTTTTTTTTTTGGGTCAGCATGATTTTATAAGCTCTCTAATAGTGTTTTAAATTTTCTTAACTATTCAAGACCAGAAGACCCGGTGTCCAGATGCACTCCAGATGTGCAGCTATTTTGAACTCTGTGATTAATTGTGCAAAGATTTCTTTGGATCATGAATTTGTACAAGAAATAAAACATCAACAGATAATACCACAGATTTTATCAAGAATTTTTCAATAGAAGTACACCCAAAACTATTACACAGCAAGATTGATCTTTGCCCGTAGAAATTAAAACATAAATGCAACAACAGCAAGTTCTTGGACAACATCTACCTTTGCAACATGGATGCTATTACTTGATAATTTGGAATTTTCAGTTCTAGCTGCACTCAGAGCCACATTTGTTGCATCTAAGTTTTGTTTCAACGTGCCATTCTCTTCGTTCAATCTGCAAATCTGATCCTGTCAGATAGGGTTCGGGAAGGAAAGGAGAGAGAAGACATTTAAATTGTTAGAGGGCCTGAAAAACAAAGCATATTGACGGTAAGGAGAAGTATAAGAAATTATATGGGAAAAGCTCTCTAGAAAAGT